TGTCTACATGTAACTTAGCGCAGGAATATTGACATTTTAAAAAAAGCTCATCCAAAACCTTATACAATGTAATTGGACGAAATACACAATAACATTATCATTCCCTTGCTAATGAGTCCATTAGCTTGGATTTTCCACATATATATCTATGTTGTGGTAAAATAGTTACGAAAATTTTGAAGAAAAAATCAGAATTCGTTACCACTACCAAGAACGCACGAGTAATCGTTCCTGCACTGGTATTTGTAAGAGTAATCACAATATGGCGATAAGCATTTTTTGACAGATGCAGCGAATATACGTTCATGTGTTAACAGCAGTTAATTTCACGTATATTGTTGAAGCAAGTACATACTTTACGTTTATTGGCTAGCGTTTGTCAAAGTCTATACAGATACAGATAAAATACCACTGGAGAAACCCTAGATATCAATACCTGCCAGCAAGGATGCCTGGGACCCTTACGGGAACTACGGCTCCAGCAAAAATGCATTCTAATTCTATTATCTGGTCGTACTTAATAACCTGTCTATCCTGGTATACAAATGTACAAAACTTCAAGGATATAATAATATCATCACGGTTTGACCTCAAAACGTGCCTTTGGTTCTCACAAAGATTTAATTGGTCTCTCTGGTAACACTGATCAATCTGTTTTCCCCAGTACTAAGGATATATTACCCAGTGTTGTGAGTCAGACATAAGATAATCGATCATATGCGGTTATCCTTAGATTTCGCCAAATGAACTTGTCTATACAAGTTTTTTCCCCACTTCTCCGATGTAAATACCTTTATTTAATTGTTCCTTCTATTTTACAAGACAGTTTAGGAATGTACACTTCTTAAAATATCATGTTATCTTGGAATATACTTCTATCTTACCAAATAATTGCTTTACTTTGGAATAATAATTTGAGGCATCAGAATAGTCATCAAATACATTAAAATACCAATGGTTTAGACGAGCTGTTTATGTCATGTCACCACCCAGAAGCATTTTAATTAATTTCATATTATATTTCTTCTAAAACAAGAAGGAAGTTTCCTTTAATCTCACTTTCTTGACTTAAAACACTTATATGAAGATTTTCATTTTTTTTATCTTTCTCATTTTTTTTATTAGAGCAAGAGTTCATCAACCTACATGTATGATAAATATTGTCAATATCAAGGTACAGTAACAATGCATGGCGTTACCCAGATTATATTCTCATTAGCTACGAAATTTCAATTTTTTATATGTAGAGATTTTTAAGAAATATATAATACCAAAATCTAATTGAATTATAATTCGTTAAGTATTTACACAAATCTCATACAAAAGATTGAGTATCAATCTTACACAAAAGATTGGGTATTAAAAGGAAAGAAAAAAATAGTTACATTGTATGCATGGCAAGTTTCAAACGTAATGGCACATCTGCAATCAACTCGTGGTTGCATGTTTCAAAGAGGTAAACCTGAATATACACATATATTTGGGGGAAAACTTTTACAAATTTTCCTTCAATACCAACAGGAGACGGTGTAGATATAAAATTTCAAATCTGTATGCGCGGAAGGAAGTCATCTTGCGGATGATGTAGAAAACAAGGAACACGATATAGCTAAATATATAATAAGGAACAAATTCATTTTGAATTCAAACAAAAAAAAAATATACATAATCATACTGTCAGAAATTTTAATTCATCAATATTAAACCTAATTAGATTAATAACGTGTTCAAACGTTTTTAAAAATATGCTCTAAATGTTACGATTTTTATGACACTTTTATTTTTCTATTTTCTGATTCGCAAATCCGGAGATGATTTCTAGTATAATATTCTTTGATAAAGATATATTTCTTCAAATAAAGAGTTTGCAATGAGATAAAGATAATCTGTGTAAATATAATAATACTTTTTTCTTATAATCTTTTCCTTAAAACAAAACAAATTCGATGAAATCACTAAAATCCGAAATATACTCCTGCATGCATTTATTTACTTAGTCCTCTTGCAATTGAAAAGAATGGATAGAGCGTGTAAAGTTACCAATAAAGATAATCTTATTACATGCACTTAATTGACAAATTTTAAAGACCATTATCAGTGCGTTAATTAAAACATTTTTAAAACAACCCTCAAAAACAATTATATAGATGTATTTGATTTGATTGATATAATAGAGAAAAAATAGGAGGGAAGGCAGGAAGAACAACATAATATTTCTTTAATCCTTTTTTGTTTTGACCAACAATTTAAAAGCTCACTCTTTTCTTGTTATGAAACGATTCTTTATACATAAAGGTCATACGTTTGTAATATATTTCTACATTTTTATTAAGTCATGGAAAAAATAAAGTGAACATGAATAGAAATTAATAATTTGCATTCCTGAAATTTTTTTGCTCATTTTCGACATGCTACATATGCAATATTGCATTATTAGAAACAAACAAAAAATAAAAGTATTTGAATGTATTATTTCAAAAAATTAGCATATGCTGAATATAGAGCATTTGTTAGTATACAGTTAAAGTATGTCATTGAGGGAGTTAGCAAGATTCCAGTTCCCCAAGACCAGGACTATTTCCCGAGGCGCAGCAATTCCCTCCGTGATATACTTTAACTGTTTTACTATACCGACACAAATATAAATAGTAAAGATCACCTTTTAAAAAAAATTTCATTTACAGATCAACTTATCATTATTCGTCGTAAATACCAAATTAGAAGATAGTTATTCCCTTATTCTAATACAATTATTGTTTTCCGTTTGATGTTTATATCTATGTTATTATAATTATGTCTTATTTTGTTATATGAAATACGTCACGAAGCATTGTAATTTTGAGTCGCTCTATTATGACGCCACAATGAAAAGCTAAAACTGCGAATTAGTCTGACTAGCTTTTGACCGAGGGATTAACTCAAAAAACTAACGCACGGCGGTTAGCCGATTTACAGCGATTTTCAGGGAGTTGTTCAGATCTAATCACTTAATTTTATTTAGGGAAAAAACAGTAAAGGTAAAATAATGCCGGCTTAATATCAACTTAATTTTAATACAATAAAATGACGTCAGCTTTGTCATAATTTATTTTCTTTCCAATATAGCAATGTTCTGCAGTTTCGCATTATTATGGTGCTCACTACGATTCCAAACTTGCTCGATATTCAATAGAATTCCCCGAGTAAGAACGATATTCAAACCGATTTAAAAGATAAGCTGATCTTAAATGAAATTCAATATCCTTATTTCAAATTCTAATTTCGTAAAATCTATGGTTGTTAATGGCTAACAATTAAAAAAAAACAATAAGTACAAAATTTGTGTTTATGCTAAATAATAGCAAAATATTCTGATTAATCTTAATCAATATATTTGGCTAATAATTACAATTGGTTTGGGGTGTCAATAGATGATGATTTCTACTCCTAGAAAATTGATGATAAAATATCCAGATACCGTGGTTTATATCCCGTTTTTAAGTTTTAAAAGTTTGCAGATTTTATTTGAGATCGTTTTATTGGCGTACATTTTTGTCGTTTTCTTTTGTACATGATCCTATTTTTGAAATTTCTAAAATTTGTATAATTTAATTGTGTCCACAGTTTTGTAATGTTTGAAGGTTTTAATTCCGTTATCTCTTCTTTCAGTGTGTAAAATGATTTAGGAAATTCTTAAGTGTATCGCCATGTCTAATATTTGTGTTTAAGTGATAAAACGTTATATTGTTCTATTTCTTCGTATAAAGATACATATACATCCTGAGCTGTGTACCATGACAAAGCATTTTGATCATTTGCAGTTTGTTGCTTAGTTTGGTTGCAGAACGTGGGTCTGTTTTGATGAATGTTAATTGCATTTGATTCTGTGCATTCCGGTGTGTCCTTGCAGTAAATATGCTCTCCTAGGTTAGTGCTGATCCCAGCAGTTAAACATTGATTGACATTATTTTCTCCATTACATTCCGATACTATAAAGGAAAATAATCAGTTCATTTCCTCCAAAATTATTTTTACCTCATCAAAATCTTTAACCATGAAAAAGATGCTAGTAATGTTAGATTATGCATAATTACTATATTTTTTAAAATACTTATATGGAATGCATTTATCTATGTAATTGTTTTCCAAATAATGAAAAAAAGAAGTTTGCTTTAGGACATACACCGACGGAGTTTCGATGCTTGATGGGACGGTGTGCTATATGGGACTGTGTAATACGCTTCTTATAAGACAAGTTTTGAAAAAGGAACATTTAGAATATGAATTTAGTAATTTTTTATGCATTTTTTCTTATAATCATCCAAAACTCTTCATCAATTGTTATCTTTCAAAAAAACCCTGTCTATGAACAACATCTTATGACACTATAGACATAAATAAGAAATGTCTTGAAAAATTATTAGATAATCAGAGGGTAAGGTACGTTATGTATGTCCTTAATAGATGGAAATTCAGACGAACATTAAATTAATGTGAGAAATGAAATTAGGACACAGAAATAAAATTGCATATTGAAAAAAAAAAAAACATTATTATACATGTAGAAGTATTGAACTATCTTTGACAGATTTTTATGTAATATAATCTAAATGTGAATGAATTTGTTTTTATTTTTAAGTGTTTTTAATGTTTGAAATGTTAATATGAACAAAGATCCTGGTCTTACATTGTGGTGCATATAGTCATGCAAAAAAAAAATATTCGTACATTGTATATAAAAAATGCACCGTATTTTTTTAGAATATTTAAAATATTCTCTTTAAAATTTGCAAATTAGTAAAGCCAATTCTCCGAAAACTTATTATTTGGATATCTTTTACCTTTATTTTGAGACTCCTCTGGTGCATTTGATGAGTTAGGTTTCCTGTAAAAATCAAGGCTATTTCTAAAGTTTCTTTAGTTCCTTTTTTAAAAATTATTTTCATATATATTTGTCTTTCATATAAACACTCATGTGCACAATGCTAGAAAACGGTTTTTCCTTAGAGATAATTGTTTAACGTCTTACCAAAATTTACAATAAACGAAAATTGCACATGTAACGCAGATGATAATATTGCCGAATGTAGATACAGTAATAATTCTTATACAAATCTGTACAGGTTGTTGTTCCAATGTATCTATCAAAAATTAAAACAAAAATTATTTTATGATATTAAACTAACGAAAATTGCAGTTTTATGAGGAAAAATATAATAAAAATGCTGCATTTAAAATCTTTGCAAATGTTACCTTTTTGACAACCAAAAACCTTGTCACAATCCTTGCAATCACACACCTCATTACAAAATCTTCCATACATGTTTTCTGGACAAGTGTGGTTGCAGTTTGTACCAAATGTCCCTGCCAAGCATTCTTTCAAGAGAATCGTATTTTGTATGATGATCAACATGTTGAAAATAAGAAAAACCGCTTTTCGTATGCATTCCTTTGCAATTTTTATTGATTAAGAACTATTGTGGGTATTTTTCTCAATCAAGAAAAATATTATAAGAATATCGCTTTGTGTTTTTTGAAAAGACTTGCGTATGTAGCTCATGGGTGATGCCGTTTGTTCTAGAGTTGCAGATTAAAGGAAGCCTTGTTGTGTTTTCCACTTCACTCTATGATTTTTTTAATTTTGCAAATACCAGATGCAATGGTACTTTGATTGCAAAATATAAAGCAATGCAAAGTTACAGACGATGCCATTTTGAAAGGCATAATAATTTTATTAAACATTTTATATTCATCCCTACCTTGACATATATCGCCAACTTTACGATAATTATCACAACAGGTAAGAAGATCCCTAAAAGAATTTCAAAAGAATATCATGTTTGTTTCACGTAAAAAAGAAAAATAATTTAAAGACAAAATTTATATTTCAACATAAAACTCAATATTTGAATCGAGCAGTAACTTATTGAAAAGTAGCCAACATTTCAAGACAATTTTTTATTCTTAAGGTACATATGAGTTAAAGTTTTGCAATAACAACACTGTGATTAGCGTGTCCATTCAAATCTAATATGAAATTAAGTACTTTAAAACATAACGTCTCGTCTCTTTATACTTGTTTTAAGGAATGTTTATAATAAAAAAAATATCATAATGATTGCCTAAAATACATTATTTGAAAAAATACGTACCCTAAAGTTGTATTGGAGCAGACCCCTAACTGCTCGGTTGATATCAATTTGAATAAGGTAGATAATGTCGTCATACGAAGAATCTTATAAATGATATCCATAGAAAAAAAAGTTTCACGGATTAATTAGCAAGAAATACGTTTATGATGTATGCAATTTATCTCTAAAGAATATACGATGTGAAAAGAGAGGAAGAGTGCATTTGAGGAAGTATTTTTGACACTGTAATCATTTAAAGTTCATGATTAACATAAATAGGCTATTTACTACAATGTACTGGTAAAACGATTATGGTAATACGTGTAGATTCAATGAAAAAAGACGTCTCTAAATGAATGAAATATGTTTAAGTAGGTTTAAAAATATAAAAATGAACATGCAATTTAA